CACTATACCCAGGAAGAAAACAATGGAAAAAGAGAAATCTCCAACGAGGCGTTCTGGGGCAGCATAGACAGGTCTTTTCTGTGTTAGAGTTTTACTCGCTACAGGGTATCGGGTGCCCTTTGTGTCCCCCAAGCTTATAATGACTTTGGTCATCTTCGGACTTTTTTTCTAACAGCTTAAACTGTTTTGGTCTAAATTGGAATATCTTGATTTGATAGTCATGAAATGTGAATCAGACATTTATATTTTCATATTTTGATTCAATTTTATGGTAAAATACCTGCAAAACCAACGCTGTTCACATCAAGTTCAGCTGTTGTGTTAAGTGCTTCTTCATGGTGACACTCAATAAGCATGGAATTAATCAACAATAATAACTCATCATTTCCTTGATAAAGACATGAAACATTTTGCTAAATGAATCTAAACCATGTAATTTGTAAATCTAAGTAGTTTCTTTTTGATGTAAGGGATCGAGTTTAAGATGTGGATTGTTACAAAAGACCGTTTAGACGGTGGCTTCATGTGCAATCAATCATATTTCCAAACCAGAAATTGCACCACTATACTGGTAACCATAGGTTTATAATTTAATACTGCAAATACATTTTAACTCTGAAACAAATTGACAGTAACAACAGCTTTTATTTCATCATAGATCACGTTGCTTTACAGTATCAGGTCCCCAAACAGTAATGTGACATAAAAAGGGGAACAAGTCCTGTTTGACTTTTAGAGTCCATAAACGAATAACAAATACAAAGGAGAACGTAAAAAAAGTACATTTTAAGGGTTACTTTAACCAGTGTGCTAACAAAAAACACAAGTGGGGTACGAATAGAGAGAAAGTTGTAATTAGATATCGTCATGTGAGGTTATCTTTTAAATGAGATTTCTATCTTGGGAACTGAGCTTTCAATTTTGATCTTGGCTCGATACTGAAGTGAGGAGTCACACGGTAAAAAGGGCTCAATACTGTCTGGGGAAATCTGCTTCTAACATCCTCATTGAACTCCAGAACTCAACCAGACAACACAGCATTAGTTCAATTAAGAGTATGAATTGTAGTTGAAGTTGTAAAAATATTAATTTAGTGACCTTAAATACCAGACCTTTTTCCCATTAATCAGAGAAAATAATAATATTTTTTTGGTAATATAGAACAGCTAACAGGCCTCCAGCAATTCCAATTCGATCACTTTTTTATAAATGTTTTGCCTTATTTCTTTCAGAAAAGGGAAATCCTCACAATAAGTTCTGCCTACACAACTATTAAGGGTTTGTTTTACAGTAGATTGCAGCTCAACTCAGCTTTAAGGAGAGTTTTAGCTTCTTTCAGCCCTTTGTTTTGATTGAACAAACTCAGCTTCTATTCTCAGTTTCCACCGGCAGCAGGCCGACAAGTTGTTAGAAGTCACTGTACACTACATCCATTCATAGAATACCAATAGTTTAACATTAACCGTATACTTTTTTAACAAACATCTTCAATATCTTGTGAAAAAGGAGCTTCAGCTATCTTTTTGAATGCGTCACATAGGCAATTACACAACATTAAAGCACACATAACAGATCAGAAGGTATCAGCATACTAAATACTAAAAGGCTCGGATTGGGAAGTCCAGTTACATGACAGATTTAGAGATTTAGAATTACAGATCTGAAATAAAGTAACTGTCAAGTACAGTGATGGAAAGTAACATGGAGATGGAGAGCACATTTACTCAAGTAGTTAACATTTTATGTTCAAAAATATGTTACTTCTTAAATGTGAAGTTTTGCTGCTTTTGCTTTAAAATATTTATTATATATTTAAATGTGTTTAGAGGTTTTTTTGCAATGACTTTACTCCGAATACTTTAAGTAGGCTACATATTCCTAATTGTTATTAAATTTAAAAAAATTAAGTACCATTTTTTATGCAGTACTTAGTACTTAATTAGAATACCTGTTCCAGCAACATCACTGAAACCCTGACACACCCTGAAAAAGATTCACAAAAGATTTAGCATCTCTGACAGGGGAGGCTTCAGCTGATGACATCACTTTGGATTACCTTTGGTTAGCTTTTAGGGAGGAGTGCACCCTTAAGATAATATCACATGAAATGTATTGGCCTTTTAAAGGTAGGGTAGGTAAGAATGGAGAAACAGGCTCGACTCGAGTAAGCTAGAATTTGAAAGTAAACAACCGAAAAAAATATGCCCCTTCCTTCAGACTTCCGTACAGAGCCCCTCCTCCAACACACACGAACGCGCACATGACCAATGAGGGCACGAGATAAATTTGTGCACGAGATGAAATGCTGACAGGCAGGTAAACCAAGTCCAATTATCTGCCTATTATAATTGCGTTTTACAGCGCCACGGCTTCCACAGATGAAATATTTGTATATATTTATTGTCAACGCATTACATTTATTCATTGCTATCGGGATGCTAAGAGCATTCCATGGAATTTAACAAAAAGTGTTTCTGAAGTGAATTACCTACCGTACCTTTAACTCCACTGGTTTTTGATTTTAAGGTCAGAGAGTATAGGTTTTTAAAAACTGCATTCCTTAAGTGTGTCACAGTGCCTGTTAGCAAGAATGAAAACCTTGAACACTCACTTTTCTTCTACCTGGATGCAGTTTATTTTTAGAGGTGGTATTTCAGCAATGCCTCGTCACCTGCAGGAAAAGAACATAACACATTATTAGCTTTATCTTATATTAGCCAATGTATATCATCTAAATAACAGGTTGAAATGTACTCTTTAGAATAGCTTGAACTGGGATCATCACATGTAAAGTTAAACTGACTCAAGGTTTTACTTTCCATGTCAGTACAACAGCAGCAGAACAAGGTGACCCAATTTAAGAAACATTTTATGAGAATTTAAACAAGCTAATAAATAGAGCCTACCTTACTTTGAAAAGTCACTTAATAAAGCTTAGTCGTTCATGATCTGGGGTTTAGGGGCTGGCTTGGGTGTCATTAAAAGGAAAACAAAGACTATTGGCGTCAAATCAAAGTTTGAGAAAAGAAAGATGAACATTTTTACCAAAAATTTCGTTAAAATCCTAATTAAAAAAAATAATGAGAATGGCATGTGGAAAAACTTTAAATAGCAACCTGTTTGACAACTTTTAACAGCACATCTAGGCTACAGTGATTATCACATGTAACGTTGGTCTAAAAGTGTGACCCACTATACATAAGTGAGGCTTTAAAAAAGGTAATTGATAGAGGGCCAACTTTAGAAAAGTCACAATAATATTGTGGAAAATTCAACTCTGTTTCAAAACCTGGTGTTTATTTTTCGCACAAAACAAGTGAAAAGTAACTTACAGGTGTGTTGCAGCGCTTCGTCCGAGAGACAGAAATTAACTTCCTCAGAGAATAAGACAAGAGAGAAAGAACTCGGCTTGCGTTCACACCATAGACTGTATGTATAAAAGTTTCCACCCACTTCATCTGCAGAGTTAATGATTTCGCAACGTGAAGAAGCGCAGTGTTTGCTGACAGATGGAGGATGTCCGGGTGAGTCATGTTTTACGCACGGATCCAAACAGCTGATTTCACGGAACAAACCGAAACTTAAGGTGACCAGAGCCGAGGTTGGCCGAGAGGACACCGTGTGGTGCTGGTGAACCCAAAAGGAAATTAAGGAGTGCTCGTTTCATGTGCAGAGGCAGGTGTCTCTGTGGGTAAAGGCACACGAGGAGCGCAGTCATTTTACACAAAATAGTTCTACCTTACATTAGGGGTCATTATCTCTGCTTTGAAATAAGTTTGCAAACGTCCTCCTTTCCTTACAAAAATACTGTTTATCACACTGGTTTACTCAAGTAATGTCCTTCAGATAAAAATCATTATTTTCCATGCCACTTTATAATGTATAGGCTATTTCTTACTTATTACTCTACCTTCTATAAGACATTACATCAGCGGTTCCCAACCTGTGGGATACCCCATAGGTAACCCATAGGCATTGCAATTGGGCCGCCACATTTTTATTTTTTGTGTACAGGCTAAAGACAGAAACATGGACATAACAATAACATAGGAGATTACATTCCCATCTCAAACAAAAACAGAATAAATAAAGATACAGTCAGTAGGATCACTTCAACATTTCACAAACAAAAATAGGTTGACAACCAGATATCCCCAAAAGCACAACATGGCAAGCATATGTATTGTTCCTTTAATCCCACTCTTCGTTAGAGCTCATTATTTCCCATTTCATGGCGTTTTGAGCCACCCTTTGATTTTGTGTGGCAATAATCTTTTCCAAAAGAAATTGTATTTTTAATCTACTCTTCAAACGCCTTAAATTAAGATTACTCATTGATTGAGTTTAAAAAATAAATATGTATTCTAGCCAGAAGAATAGTTATATTTATTAACTGTGTGCGGTCTTCATCTAAAAGCCCAAATAAAATATATGAATATTGCCGCCAAATAATTATTGATTTGTGCGGAAACATTTTCATTATTAAGATTTATTTATTTTTAACCTCTTTTCCTTTCTCTTTCTCGATCCTCCTTAGCAATGGTCATTACAGTCCTTGACAGCGGTCTGTACTACTGGATCAACAACGTGTCACATGTTCTGAATTGACCAATCAGAACTTTATTTAGCCTCCGTATTGTTTATGGTTGAATGTGGGCTGCGAAAAAAAAAATGTGATTCTTAAGTGGGCCCTGAGTTGAAAAAGGTTGGTAACCGCTGCATTACATATTACTTGTTAGACGCTTTTATCCAAAGCGGCTTATACTCAATACTGTGGGCAATCCCTACAGGAGCAATTTGGGGTGAAGTGTCTTGCCCAGGGACACAACGACATGCTGACTGCAGTGGGGTTTGAACCTGTGCTCCCCTGATCCGAACACCAACGCACATACTGTACTCAACTGCGCCACAGTCAAATTTGAACAATTGTCAGAGGTTTTATACCTTTCGACTACTTTTTACACCACATAATCTATACATTTTTGTATTTATACTTTTACAGAAGAGGATAAGGGTCACATGTGACATTTATTTTTAGTTCTGAGATTTTCAGAAGAAAATAATCTGTTCTTAATAAACTAGTCTAAACATTAAAAACAGGGGTAACAGGGTCACTTAATAATCAGTCCATTAACGGAGTAAATAACCAGAAGTCTAATCCTTATTTAATAAAAAAGAATCCATGGTAAATAGTTAAAAAAGAGCAGCAGTTAAATGCATTAAAGGTGACACTCTTTTTTATTGCTGATAATGTGTGTGTACTTTTGACCGTAACATTATAAATAAAATGTTAATTCAGGGCATACAAGTCTTTCAATCCGTTATTTGAAGTCGACTTAGGTAACAGTTTATCCTCCTAAACTTTGGCACAGTTGGTGCAACACACCATTGTGACAGAGTCTTACAAAACAGTCTGAATGTCCCCGCATTGCTTCAAAGTCTCACAGGAAATGCAAGTAAAATGTAACGATGGCACACTGAAGGTTCAGACAAACACTATCTGTGTGAAAATCAGATTTTTTCAGAGACAAAATAAGAAAAAAAGTAAATTTATGTTGCAAAATTATCACGTAGCATCTCCTGTATTATCTCTACAATTAACAAACTTGCGTTCAGTGCGTTACATTGAGTTTACTTCCAACAACTTACAATTTTAACTCTTAAGTGCTGTTACAGTATTCAATGCCGATACTCAGAGCATTTAGTCAAAGACACAAAGAAACGAGTACTTATATATCCATCAACTCTGCAGGAAATATTTAGTGTGATAAAAATGGTCCGCAGTGAAGCAAACTGCTCTGATCTAAACAATTTAACAGGAGAGGGGAGACATTTTTGAGAAGCTTATTTGCAGATTTGAATACCACAGATTGAAATTGATTCCTAAAAAGAAACCATGTGAATATTATGTAAACCATCAGGACTGCATGTTTAAATCGTAGTAAGAGCAGGTGACGTTAAGGTAGTACGTTTGAATCCCAAAAAATGTGTTAACAGATCTCAGAATTTGACAACACAAAATATTCAAATAGTGGCGTTCTCTGATCCATTTAGAGGTGTGCATTCGTCAAAGAAATGCAGTCAGGACTTTTCTTTTCCTGTTATTTGTGTTTGATAATACTTATATGCATGTGTCATTAACATTTATAAGAGAACTAAAAATTGACGATCCAAGTTTGTTATTTTTAGCTCTAAAAAAAGTGTATTGCTTGACCTTAGGTTCTTGGCAGAAAGAAGGTCATGCTGTAACGTAAATACATTTCTATACGGTGGCCATTTTAGGACATTTACGACTCTTCAGACCGAGCTCTTAACATGTTGAGACGTTATCTAACAACTGCATGCTAACAACCTGAGAAACAGAATTAATTGCAATTTTGTGTTGCCTTAATTATTCTGATGTAGACTCAATTAATTATTTCTGTAAAATTGAATACTTTCTCACTTAAGAGTAAAACATTTTTTTAAGTGGACAGAAAATAGGTTGGCAACTGCCATGCCATCAATCAATCAATCAGATGTGATTCATAGATCTGAAGTCAGGTTAACACATTATAATATTTGCATTAGCTTACTGTTAACTAAAATGCTAACATTAGCAAAAAAGCTAGCATGTGCTTTTGCGTCCGGAAAGCACGGTAAATATCCAATCAATGTCTGTCAATCATTTTGGTGCAACATGCTAATTTGTAACATTTAATATTAGGTGGATTACAATTTAGTAACTTTACGTGCTAACAACAGCATGCCAATATGTTGAATGTTGTGCTGCATTTTCCTGGCATAAACTTGAGTGTTTGACCTGCAGGTGGCACTGGAGAAAACTTCAGAAGATCATCAATAGTAGGATTCATCTTGTGGAGAACATTTACAAGTTTAATGGCAGTCCATCTAATCGTTGTTGAGATATTTTGACTAAAGTGGTGAAACAAAGAATACAATCAATTATTTAGTTTCATATTCAAAGTTGAAATCCAGTATCATGTTTTTATGTATCTGATTGACACTCCGGGGGTTTAGACATGATGCTGTAGTCAATAATCATACTGTCAAGACAGCCACTCGTACAAAATAACTCAAAGGGAAATATTTCAATTCATAAAGAGGTAGTCTGAATCACCTTTAAAATAACAAACGTAACATTTAGTGGCACAAAAACAATCAGTCCTCCAAATGCTCAGTTTGTATTCAGTTACCGGCATAAATATGTAACATCAGGAAGTCGTAATGTCACGTCCAACCTGATGGGTTTTAAGTTAAGGCTCTGGTTTCCAGTTTTTTCAGTCAGGTCATCCTCATTTTCTTCTTTGGCGCGGCTTCTTCCCTCGATACTGTTTTTTGAAGTCGATAAGGCAGTCGGTGGCCTCTGAGATGGGAGTGAAGGATCTGATGGGAGAGTTACTGATCCTGAGCACTGAAACACTGTCACCCTCCTCCTCTTCATCATCATCATCCCGCAGGTCTATGACTTCTCTAAAAGAGAACAAACATACAACAAAACATCTCAAAACGTGGTTTGGTGAAATAAGTATCTTTGGCTTGTTGTTTTCATCTTAGTAATCAAATATCACAGAGGTGCATTACATTTTGTTTTATTCGGCTCTAATGAACTTGTTTTTATTTGAAAAGGGCCTTAACTTTTTAGCATACAGAGTCACATCTCTATATGTGAATCTGTGCAAAGGGATTAGTAATCCAAGCCCTCTTCATTCACAATACATAAAAATGATAAGAAAAAGATTAATGTAACTTGATTCATAAACTGTTTTGAACAGGATGTCTTTACCTCTGTGGGAGTTTGGATCCAGACGGCACGGCCTCTGTGAAGAAACGACAAGAAGCCAGTGTAATAAGAAACAAATCAAATGTTTTACTGCTGATTTTTTCCTTTTTTAGTTCTCGCTGTACGTAGGTAATGATCGGATAGTTAAAAAAAAAGGTCATGGGATCAAAGTTTGATGTGTTAACCAGAATATTAAAGTTCTGAATCATCAACGAGGGCTACGCCATCAAATTTATTATAAACTGATCAGACAACTTTATTTTGTATTACTGCATTTTGCCTTGATAACGCCTGGTAGACCACAAGTTGACGTCTTCACATCGTTTTTTTTAATTAAGATATTACATTTTCAACTGGATAAATTCGAGAGAAGTAGCAAAATCCTCACATTTTACGGGTTAAAAACTCTAAAAGATGAATAATTTGACTATCAAGAAGTGTGCAGATACATTTTCTGTTGATCCAACACAGTTTCTGGCTTTAGGTGAGTAAGGTTGTGTTTCTCTTACCAAAAACCTTTACTATGGAGCTAGAGGAAATAAACTAGACACTGAAAGGCCCAATTTGTTTAGCATGCTTCGACGCTAAACTAAGATTCTAAACAATACCCTGTATATGTACTCAACATCAGCAGGTTGGTTTGCTGACGTAGGCATTTAGCTAAAAACACTGTGGCCAAGTACTTTGAACAAGTGTCAGCATGACTGCAGCCTTTGTGTTGTAACACTTAGAAATCATTTCAGACTCACCTGAATATCTACTCTCTGTTTTCTCCAGAGCCGACAGCAGATTTCCCTTCTGAAGGTCAGAAATATGACAACAAATATATATTATCAAAAAACTGGTCAGATCCAATACATGAAAAGTTTTAGTTGCATGTTATTGCATCTCAAACCATTGAAATGTAAACATATTGTCAGTAGATCACTCTTGTATGTCTGTGTCTGTGTGTGTGTGTGTGTGTGTGTGTGTGTGTGTGTGTGTGTGTGTGTGTGTGTGTGTGTGTGTGTGTGTGTGTGTGTGTTTGTGTGTGTGTGCTTACGGCTGCATTGGATTGACAATTTGAGGATTGCCTCTGGATGCAGAGCTCTGTGTGTCGGCTGTAGTCTCTCAGGGGAACAGCTTTCTGACAGATGTAACATTTCTCTTGGATCCTGTGGAAAATAAAACCCAGTCAGAAAACAACAACGTGTCTGAAAACACTGAGGTGTCCCTGTAAATACACACAGGTCGTACCTACTTACTTGCCACTGTTGGAGGGTTCGCCGGTCTCTGCAGAACTCGCCTCGGCTAACCTTGGTCTCTTCCTACGAGGCTTCAATGACACTATAGAGAGGAAAGGAAGGGGTTGTTTAAAGCAGGGGTTCCCAACTCCCGGTCTTACTGCCGGGCCGCGAAATAGCTGTGAGTTTATCGTAATATTTGCAGAATTATAAATATTGAAAAATATTTTATCAAAAAATTATTTTTTTATTTTTTTTATGTATCTGCCGGTCCTTGGCACAATAAAGGTTGGGAACCCCTGGTTTAAAGCATTAATAATCACATCCTTTTAAGCATTAATCATCTAAAACTGCAGATTGACTATACATGTTAGTGCACATCATAGACATACCAGAAAAATATTTAAACAGATGGGCTTGAAATAGAAGAGCAAGTCGATGTGATATTGTTGTAAATGTATGTCATGAATATCTAGCAATATTTAAAATGTGATCAAAATAAATAACAAATCACAAAAACGTTCCTACTCAGCAGAAATTATTATAAATTATTATAATTACTAAAATATTAATGAAATATATTTTTGTGGGTGCTTCATCCCCTTGTCAGCCAGTTGTGAAGCCCTTTGAACTGCATTTAGCTGTGTGAAAGCTGATATGAGGGCTTCAGAATATAATAAAAAAATGTTTGAAAGAGACCTTGTGTGTTAAACAGAATATAGTTTCTGTCACCTTGGAAACAGTCTTTTTCCGGCTTTCTCGCGCCCTCCTCTCCGTCGCAGTACGCAGCGTGTCTCTCGATCTGCGTCAGCGGGAAGGAGCTCTGACAGATGGGACAGTCCACTCTGTCTTCAGGTTCTAGTTCAGGAGACGACGACCTTTGAAGCACCCGATATTTTATCTCCTTCACATCTGGATCCAGCTCCTCTGTCCTCTTTTCATGCTGTCCTCCAACATCACTGCTAACAGGGACGTTTGTCTTTTTGTCCACTGGGGCTGAAAAAAGTCACATAAACTCATTTTAAGGATTATCTTCTTAAAAACATGTACCTTAAAAATCAGGAATCCTTTACTTGAAAAGGTTACAGTGTTACATAGGGGTGTAACGGTTCACAGAATTCACGGTTCGGTATGTACCTCGGTCTGGGGGTCACAGTTCGGTACAACAAGAAAAAGCAAAAGAAAGTCCCAAATGCATAATTCCAGGTTTGTTGTTATTTATTTTGAACAGTAGTGCAAGTTTCAGTATACAAATAAGGAACTCTAACTTTTGAATAATGAACTGTATTACACAGTGAAAAACAAACCACAAACAGTACCACACACACTCAGATGCCCAGATTATCTATAATTGCTGATGTCAAACAAAAAGGTTTCATCAAGCTGTAAAACTAAAAAGAATGTCTTGAAAATATTACACAATAAATAATAAGAAAGTGTTTCAAGAGCGCATAGTAGTTGAAAAACATATGCCAATAGCTTCCGTTATTTATTTTGGTCTCTTGGCTTTCATGTCTATTGGCTTCTTAAAAGCAGCGGGGATAAGCTGTTGAACTGCTGTTGTCTTTTGGCGGGCTCCGGTGATTGGCAAATCTGGGTGATGCCTTCTGATATGATTTAGCATGTTTGGCGTGTGTTACCATTAGCATGCTGCATATGGAGCTATTTCAGGGTCATAAGTTTTGATCATTCAAAAAAAAATTTTTTATTTGAAAGTTCAAGTTTTTATCCTGAACTTTGAAAAATACAATGATGTATTCAAAATAAAAATAAGTATTTGAAATCATTTTCCAGGTTGAATATTATTTTGATTCAGTTCAGCAATTTTTTTGAATAAAATATTTATTTTCAGATTTCACTTTTATACATATTTTGATATTTGAATCCTTATTTTTTTCAGTTGCAGATTATTCGTTTTCAGATTCAAAACAATTATTTTTTTCAGGTTTCGCATTGCTTTTCACCTTCAGATCGTTTTTCGCTTTCAGATCGTTTTTTTTCGCTTCAAGACTTTTGGCCCTGATGTTGCGTGGGGGGGCGGGGCTTACCAAAGAGTAGTTTGGCATCCTGAGTGGCAGGCCTCCCTCTGTCATGTTGCCTTCATGGATGTTAGGTAGCGCGAGAAATATAACTCAATACTTTCTATACACAATACTCCCGTGATTGGTGGTAAACTGATACCAGCGTCAAAGTTCCGTTAAGCGAGCTGTTGAGCATCGTAGTTGGCAACAATCAAGGTATAAGCGCAATAAACTGTGCTAGAATGTGAAATTACGTATCCGCAACGAGCCAACAGGTTGTTCTGGTGGACCTGACGCCATCCCCCGCTGTCTCACGGAGAGACACCGCAGGTCCTTCCTTCCTGCAGCGGTCAGAGCCCCTAGAACCCGCACAAAACAACACAGACTATAACACCTCTTGTTGATAAATAACAACTATGTGCAATATTTGCAATATGTGCAATATATATATGCCGTTAAAAACTGTGCAATATATACCTGGCTGCTAAATCCGCAGAACTGTTACATGGTGTTTATTATGTAAAATGTGTCACTTAAAAAAAATATATAATTTCTTTTTTTAATCTTTAATACTTTTTGTATGCATGCTTTAGGTAACATTAAGCTGTCTTTGGCTCCTCTCTGCTGTAACAATGTAAATGTATCCCCTGTGGGACTGATTAAAAAGGTATTCTGATTCTGATCGCAAAAACCAGGGTTGCGTTCGAATAGTCCATTTAGCTTAGGAACCTTCCTAACTAAGTGAAATGACCCGGAAGTCCCTCAGTGGCAGCCATGATAAGTGTCGTTCAAATTCTCTAGAATGATAGGAAAGGAGATTTCAAACTTCCTTTATAACCTCCTTTAATATAGGAACCACTGGACCTCCCTAACCGAAAGGAGAGGAGAAAATGCTGCCCCACAATGCCTTGCAGCCGCAGCATTTGACGTCACACAACAGTCGGCCGTTCACTGACACAAACGATTATGACGGAGAAATTATATCATGAAAGTTACGGTGCTTATTAAGCATTTTAAAACGTATGTGGTAAGTTGCCAAAGTGCTTTGTTTTGAACGTTCATCAGTATTATAATCAAAAAGAGAAATATGAACCTTAGTTTTGACTGAAATTATCAAATAAAGTCAACATTTCACTGAGCTGTGTGGGGTTTGTTCAACTTTTAAAAGATGTTTGAATGGTGATATACACAGTGATAGGTGTTAAAGACTAACGTTTATAATAAATACATTTGTATTGATTTTAAGATATTAATTTATACAATCATACGTATTGGGATCATTTGTATTAATGTGGACCGGAGGTAGAGGGTGACGAGCATAAGTTTCACTTTCATTTTTTATTTCAATTCCAATTTTGGTCATGAAGAATATGTTTCTCTGTTGTTCATAAAGCATAAAGCAACAGCATCAGGGCACGGTGCAAGTCTCTAGATGAGTCCGTCGTTCTTATTATACATCCATGTTGTAGTCCGCTGTATAGAAAACTGTAGTTTCCCCACAGCAGCAGACGCACACAATGACGTCCGCTGGCGCATCATAAACACGTCGGATAGTGAAAGTGCATTCGGATTCTCTAAAGTACCGCAGTCTCTTCTCCTAAGTCCTTTTGAATTCTCCTATCCACTATCCCTTAACCCCGTGACGTTTCACTCAGAGGTCAAGGAATAGGAGATAGGGTTAGAACTTAGGAGCTGATTTTTAAACTATCCGAACGCAACCCAAGCCAATACTATGCTGCGTTCATGGAGCTACGTGGAAGTGGGGAAGGACAATGCTTGATTGCGGATACGTAATTTCACATTCTAGCACAGTTTATTGCACTTATACCTTACACCCTGAGCTAGATTTTTCCATCAAGACTAGACTAGCGTTTTTGGTCCCAACGCAAGCTTATCAGGTAAATCGAATCGCCTTGGAAGGATTGATTCACTTTACTGGGCCTGTCAGGGAGTCACGTGGGCGTCGGTACTATGTCACAGCAAGTTTAAGAGATGCTTAGCTAGTCCTGTGTCCGGCTAAAGTTGTAAGGAAATATTAGGAAATTATATCCTTGGGTGAGCCTGGAGGATTGCTTTCCTCTCCTCTTTACGACGGGTGTCTACGGAACGTCGGCTTCGTAAACTGCAGTGTTTGTCAGGGCAAGTGACTGTGTTTGCTAATACTGGCCTCTTTAATATAGTACTTCATGGCCACGAAAAATTCGTAAAATTTTGCATACACCATTGCAACGGTTTCACGAACAAAACTTGCAAAGTAGCATAATATTAGTTTTTCTTTTATACTTGGATCAAAGACTGACTTTAATATTTTATGTGCAGTTGTAAAGGTGACTCGACACCACCCAAACAGTGAAAATTTTCTACAAACTTACCACTATATGTGTCACTATCCACCAATTTCTGATTGCGAAAATATTATTTATGTAAACATAACTAAAATTTCTATAAAATGTATCAAATATGTTAGGTATCATTACACCCTAGTAAACATAATTTACACCTGGCCTCCATTCTCCCACTGCTCGTACTTCAAAGTGAAAGGTTAAAAAATAAAGTTAAGGTTAAAACAGTACTTCTTATAAAAGAGACAGACAAGTAATTTCGTATTTCGTTGTTCGTAGTCCCGTGCCCACGTCTCAGAGATCTAACTCAGGCAGCAAGAAATAATTTGTAGGTACAACATCAGAGGCAGACATATGGCTTTTGACATCAAAGGGTGTCGTCGTCTGCGTGTGTTACTGCAGGCGGCCGCGTAGTATTGTGCAGGCCTATCACTTTCACGTAAGCCTAAGAGATTTCATGGCGTCAGAGAAGAGGATTCAGGAACACTTAAGAAGATAGGTGATAGGGAATTGGGGCACTGCAAAGTGAGTCTCCAGTTCCTATCCTTATGGCCCAATCTGAATCCTCGACAAAAATTTGGATAGGCTTGGCGTTGGTTTCGGTTATGATACGACGCAAGTACCCGTATGCACCTTCACCCCGCTTCCTGTTACGAGACTAACGCCTATGCGATGTAAAGTGTAAGATGTGTCAAATAACGGAATACGGAAGGTAGGTAGGTAGGTAGGTAGAAGAGTGGCAATAGCACAGCCCAGCGCCTCCATCGTCAAGGTCGTCTCCTCGGGGGGTTTGAAAGAAAAGGGACCGGTGTAGTTGGTGAGACTGACCCCTAGGGTTCCGCGACGGTTCCGGTCGGCTTCTCTATGATCGTTAGGGAGTAGACCAAGATCTAATGGGGGCAACAGGAAGGGCGACCTGCACGGACCTTTGGAGATCCCTCCGCGGGTCCACCGTAGGATGTGATCCACGGCTTTTTGTGGAGTTGACCGAGGGAAAGCGCGCTTCCTCCTCGCCGAGTTATGGCTCAGGGAGGGACTACTGGCTTGAAGAGTGGAATAGGGGATTCCCTCTGTGGTCGGTGGGACGCCTCTTTCTGGGTAGAGCCGCAAACATGGGCGCTAGAGTAAGAACCAGGTATGGGTAGGAAGTACTGTAGATCCACTCCCATCGCTTCTTTTACCGGCGCCATCTGTCTCTCGAAACGAAGACCGAGTCGAGTGAAAAGCAGTGTGTGCCGACGCCATTCAGGTGAATTATGGAACTAACAACGTTGATGCTACGAGTGTCGAGCGAATTGGCCTTGACTACCTGCGACCATAGTCAAATGGTGGTTAGTGCCCTTCATAAGCCACACATATATCTGTTCATAACTCAATATAGAGAAGCCGATTGGATTGTAGGTACCTCCCGTTGTACCGGTCTCCCTCCGGACCGGTGAGTCCTACGGTTGATGGAGAAAACATTCGGCGGGGGGGTGCGTTGTAGTCCGGTTTTCAGACTTTCGCTTTTTTTGCTAGACTTTCCACTTTTGGTTACACTTTGGACTTTTTTGTCTAATAAAAAAGTCAAAGTTTAGAACAAAAAAGTCCAAAGTGTAACCAAAAGTGGAAGTCATAGCAAAAAAAAGCGAAAGTCTGAAAACCGGGACTACCAACGCACCCCCGCCCCGAATGCGTTTCTCATAAGACCGTAGGACTCACCCCGTCCGGGAGGCGAGGACAGTACAACGGAAGTACCTACAATCCATCCGCGCTCTTTAGTATTGTGAGTTATTGAAAGATTATCCGTTGTGTTATTGAGGGCACTAACCACCATTTGACTATGGTCGCAGTTTCAAGCGCATTCGCTCGACAACTCGTAGGCATCAAACCGTGGTTAGTTCCATACTTCACACTGAATGCGTCGGCAACACTGCTTTTCCCTCGACTCGCCGGTCTTCCGTTTCGAAGAGACAGATAGGCGCGGTAAAAGCAAAGATGGGGATGTGGCATACCAGTACTTCCTACCACGTAGCTGCGCTTTCTTTACTCTAGCGCCCATTCGTTGCCGGGCTCTACCCAAAAAGAGCGCGTCCCACCGACCACAGTAGGGAGTCCCTATTCCACTCTTCAAGCCAGTAGTCCCGTCCCTGAGCCTCAACTCCGGCGAGGAGGAAGCGCAGCTTTCCTCGGGCAACTCCACGCAAGCCCGTCGGATCAATCCTACGCGTGGACCCGCGGAGGGATGCCCCTCCACAAAGTCCGTGCTAGGTCGACCCTTCTCTGGGTTCCCCCATGCTAGATCTTGGTCTTACCTGCCCCATATAAGAGAAGCGACCGCGACGCCGTCGCGGAATCCCTAGCCGGGGTCAGTCTCGACCCAACGTACACCGGCCCTTCTTCTTTCAAACCCCGAGAGATCGACCTTTGACGATGGAGGCGCTGTGCGCTCGTGCCTATTCGCCCTCTAGTCTACCTACCCTACNCGAGCCTTCTGCTCATTCGCCCCGCGCCTCTGGAACTCCCTCCAAGATCAGCTGAGATCTGCCCCTTCCACCGACGTCTTCAAAACCGGCCTTAAGACCCTCTTCTTTCGGCAGGCCTTCCAATAAACTTTTAGCATGGTACACCTGGAGTATTGCCATTTTGTATCGCTATCTCCGACTTTTATTTTATTTTATTTTTTTAATCTTTCAAATTGTATCAGTGTCCTTTGCTGTGAAGCGCTTCGAGATTTGTCTTGGCAGATGAGAAGCGCTCAGGGGCGGATCTAGACAAATATTCATGGGGTGGCAAGAGGGTGGCAGGAGATGTTGAGGGGTGGCATCCCCTGGCAGAAGTATATGCTGATTTAATCGCAGTCATATCAATCAATGTTACTTGGAAAGCCACAATATTAATATTTTAACTCAATAACATTTGGTGACATTATTGTGGCACATCAGTAAAGCCTTACATATAAATATATAAGGTTCAGACTTAGTTTAGTGAATGAAGCAGGGGTACCAAATCTATGCAGACTGCTGCAATAAGTACATTAATTAACTGTCTCATCGATGTTTGTCTGAATGAATATGATACTATTAACAATCTTATTATTCCTATCAGCTGTCAATCACTGTTATGATTCACATATTCATTTATTATTGAACAAGCTTTATTTTTTGGAGGAGTTAATGATGAACGTTCCGCAAGATGCTTGCTCACCCTCCTTCAAATTTGAAAGACAAGTAATTATATCATGTATCAAAATTCAAAAGATTCAAACGAACAGTTCAGCGCCCCACGACTTTATTGCAACCAGTTACAACCTTGACTTTACATCAGTTAGGGTTAAAAAAGGTGTATTCACCTAAAACATATACATCGCTGCAGTAAGTTATTATCCAGTGGAAAGTCCTTACCTACTGGCCTAATTAAATCAAAGTGGTTACTTTGTGTTGGCTGGGCAGTGAAGTTTTACACACCGTCTTATTTCGACTTTCTCAGGGCTTAAAACTGTTTTTTGGGGGCAGACCCCCACAAAGAAAAAAAGATATACACACATACAAGGTCATCATCTAACAGTTATTTATGATCATCCATGAGCAGAGCATCAAGTTGGCATGCCTATAACAGCTGAATGTGGCGATTACCATGTTGTTCAGCAAAACGCCTCAAACGTATTAAGATCCAAAGCTTTAGTGCGTTTTGATTCAATGCTGAGTACAGCCAAACTTGACAGTCTCTTCTATGTCATTGTAGACCGCAAATACCTCATTCCTTGTTCGAATGCTTCTCGTTTTGCGCCATCCTGTTCAAATGAAATCGCCGCCTATCATATTTCCACGCTCGCGCCAGGGCCGGGGGAGGGGTTACAAGGCTCGCGTCTTGTGCTGCATTCACTTGCACTCGGACGTTAGAGATTTTCTCTCATAAATGTCCGATGAGTCACAACTTTTCTTTCAAAACAAAGCAGCCAACTGGGGTGGCAAGGCTATTTTTTAGGGTGGCAGTTGCCACCCCGGTAGATCCGCCCCTGCCTATTATATAACCAGATTAGTACACATCCATGGTTCAAAATAAGTAGCACCACTGTATATATTGTTAACTTGTTGTGCTATTATAAATATATATATATTTTTTTATTTCCCACTATTTAACTCTAACATGGAGCAAAACCTAATGGACCCAACGAAAATATTATTTTAATCCTGATTATTGATTCCTTTATTTGGATCAAGGTTAACAATTGCGGGGATTGAAATGTAGGGAGAACAGCTTAGAGAGGGGAAGGAAAGTCCAAATTTTAGGCAAACAGGAAAACTATGTCAAAGTGAATACATCTGCTTCTTATGAACAGTCTGTGAGCCGTACCTTCCACCTCCATCTCCTCCTGCCGCTCAGCCTCGGCTGGAGAATCCACCTGGAGAATCACCTCGACCTCCGGCCGCTCTGGACTCATTTTACACTCAGACTAAAATCCAAATAGGAAAACATGTTGTCATTATATGAAGAGGAAGAAGTGGTAAAATAGCTGTCTTCATGTTAAATGTATTCTGTACGGTTCTCTTCTGTGATGTGCAGACACATGTTTCTAATAAAGAAGTTAATCTTTACATTGTATTTTGAAAAAACCTGCCAGGTAAACTATGTTGTCGTATCAGGGTGAAGCAGGAATAACATATCAGGTTGTTGATTTGTGAATGAACTCAATCTGAACATCCTCCTTAACGCTATTGTTGTCAATTGTCTCTTTCACAATGTTTAAAAACCAAAGAGTTAATGAAACAAAGTTGAGAAACCTCTTAAGACTTTCGTGTTGCCGTGCAGATTTAGGTATTTAATCTCACCGCTGCCCCAGCGCTAGTTCCCATCATCAGATCTTGTGTGCTGTCGTCATCGTTGCCACTCAGCTGGATTTCTGTTGTTACAAACAAGAGATTCAAAGGACTGTTAGCAGGTTCATAATAAAAGGCCTTTTGTGCATGCGAAAAATAATCACAGGAGAAGCCAAACAAACAGCAGACTCGCCTTGTGAGAATTTAACACAGTCTTTTGTTCGCTTGAAAATAAAAAACACTCTTCTCATTAACGATCAAATACAACATAAATACATTTCATGAAAATAACAACTTCAAGCTCCTTAATGATAGTCAAAAGAAAAGAGCTTCCGTACCTGGACAAACCTCACAGTCCTCATCAGTGTCTACATGTCCTCCTTCTGCTGCCTTCTCCTCCTCCTCCTTCTCTTCTTCTTTACTTTCTCCTTCCTCCTCCTGCTGCTGCTGCTTCTCTTCATCATCCTCCTCTGCCTCGGCTGGACAGAAATCGTCTTCTTCAAACACTTTTATACCTTTTAGTCTGAGGCCACTCCTGGAAATGCAACCAAATAAATAAACGTTGTTTGGTTTGATAATGACTTCACCCGTTCCACTTCATCATTTTGTGTGTTCTCTCTCTGGACAAAATGGCAGCCATATGTCGATACAATGCAACATTAAATATGCAACTAGGTTGATCAGTGATTAACCATTGTATGGATTTTTTAAACTAATATGATGAACATCTAGCCTTTCAAATGTGAGAATGTAATGCTTTCATTGTCGCATGAAAAAATGTTGGTGTCACAAAAACAAAACGCTCCTTCAAACCCAACAATCATCTTGATAGTTACGTTTTTACTTTGGTCTGCTGAACTGAGTTGAAAATTATTAACTAGTGACATCTAGAGGCAAAAATACTTACTGTATCTGTACATAGTTCACAGATTCTGAAGTGCATTAAAACTGGAAAATAATGTGAAGAAGAGCCCATAAAAGGCCAGCATGCATAACTTTACTAACTTTTCGTGTGGTTTGGATGGTCAGTATTATAAATAATTCAGCTTCACGCAGAAGTTAAAGAAATAAGTTATGATGGACATTGAATGTCTATCTTTTTTCCAAAGACTTGAAATAATGATGTATAAGCAATGTTTGTTATTTTAAATATCTGAGATAAACACTTTCAATGTATTCTTTGAGTACAAAAATACAAACATTTGACCTACCTCCCAGTGTCCCTTTACATTTGGTAGTTGTATCCTGTAGATTGTGATGGCTAACAGGATTATATCAGAAAAATATCCCCGTATTAGAAGAGCTGCCTTACCTTCGTTGAACCGGCTGTGGAGGTGATTCAGGAGCTGACTCCGGTGAAGAGGATTTCTATGGAATAAAATGAAAAATGTTTGTTAACCGACTCACAACTAACCGTTTTAAACATCTGATATATTTCATGATCCATGGAGTTCTTATTTTAATTTGATTATATTGACTTTTACACATTTATTTTGTACATTTTATTGATTGGCAAGTCGTATCCATTGTCGTTTGTTTTTTCTAAATTTGAAGCACTTTATGTTGCATATTTGTGTGAAAGCTGCTATATAACTAAATAAAGCTGAGCTTACTGTTTATGAAGCATAATATATAGCATAAAATGTAGCAGGGTCAGACCTTTGTTTGGCTCAAGATCCTACCCAGAAAACTAAATAATAAAGCCCATAAATTCACCCGTTACAGACTCATGTTAAGATGGTTATGTTACCTCCGGCTGCGGCAGGACGGCCCCCCCCCACTCGGCCTTCCTCAGCAGGAACCTCTGCGCCTGCTTCAGACTCTTCTCATAAACCTCCATCTGAGCCATGATCACCTGCAGGATGGATGAAAGTGAGAAATCGATATCGAATGCTAATGCTTTTTTATTGTTTCTGTAATTCAGTAAAACAAAATTATTAAAAAGGCCAAATGAGCCAGGTTTCCATACAACTTTAGAAGATTGTAAATAAATTGAAAGAAAAATAAAGCATGAATTGCATGAGCAGTGCCAATTTTAACAACATTTTGAGAAAACCTGCAAATAAAATAAGGATTAGCACTACTGTTAAATGCATATTAGTTGGTTCTTGTGGCTTAATGGTTGGTGTAGCAAAATAAGTTACAGAACCAGCAATAGAGGTAATATTCCAACCTATAAACGTTTTGTGATGAGGAAAGTGTGTTGCATAAAACTTGGCCACGTCATTAGCAACCTGAGTAGAAGCTTTGAATGAAAACAAATGACACTTGTAGAGCCCAAGTTACGAAATCAGAGAAAAGCAATAATTCCTTACATTTAAGATGCAACCAGGAACTATTACGATGGTTAAAAACTGTCCTGAAATAACACTTTGTAACTGTTCTTTTTTTTTTTTTTTTTAAACAAATCTTCACCTGTGTGTATTTGTCTGGGTCCAGGCCTCGTGGACAGAAGGGAACCCCCCAGTAGTAGCTCACTGTCGGCCCCTCTGCAGGCTCACTGCTGATTGGCTGTAAACGTCGCTCTGTGGCTACAAGCTGCTGACGGTCGCTTGATGTGGGAGAGGTAGAAGGTCTGAGTGCCAAAACAAACAGAGTTATAATGAGCATAACAGTTATAATGAGGCTTGCAAATAAAAGTGTCTATGACCCCAGCCATGTCCTGAACAACGAACATGAATTGTTGCCATAAAATTGGAGATTTACGATTTAATGAAGTTAGACTAAAGCACTCCTGTCAATCTTTAAATGAAATATAAAGTTTAATCCCAGATCAAATGTAGGTTCAAGGGTCTTCAACAGGTTGTATTTAGTGATTAGTTGATTGGTTAAATGTCTGTTGTCCCTTGTTTACTGTTTTAACTAGTTGTCATTGTTTATGTTGCAAATGCAGCTGCTGTGTTGGCAGAAAAATGTTAGACTTGATCAGACAATAAGGCATTATGGTACTGTAAAGAGACCTCCCTCAACTCTTTAAATAGACAAGTGATGCTTTTTACTCACTGAATGTGTCTGACTGCTTAAGTTACATTAAAAGCTAAGAGTGTGTTCTCATGAGGTTGTTTGTTCCTCTACCTGCTGTTCGTCCCTGGAGAAGCTGCGGTCACATGGTTCGGGGGGGCGGTCTCACTTTCTGCCTGATGAAGAGGTCTCTCCTCTGGGAAGACCGGGCTGTGAGACCCCGTCGGCTGGAGGGGAGGGATGGATGTGAGAAATGGTGACTTTTCATTCACGTTTGAATACATATCTGTTGCTCTAGTACAGGGGTCAGCAACCTTTACTATTAAAAGAGAGCTTTTGCCACCAAATACAGTTTAATCTGGAGCATTCGTATTTGATAACACAGCTTTTACAGTTTTATATATAGTCTATATATTTTGGACAACATTTTAATTCTGGTTTGCAACAGGGAGGAAGGCTCTGTACCGTGACGTCGTTGTCGTCCTCTCCAGACCAGAGTAACACCATATCGCTGGTCAGCTCCGACTCTGCCGAGTTTCCCTCTTTACATATTTCATGCTGTGCGTTATCTGAAACCACAAAACAGAGAGCCACTGAAGAAAAGGCTCTGACTTTTCCTGACCGGATATTAAAAAGCATTTAGGAAAATAAACCTCCAAATGATGTTTCACTGTACCTGACAGAAATGCCTTATTCAACCTGAGATTTGGATTTTGGTCTGGCTTGCTGTCCTATATTCAAAAGCAAGAAAAAAAAGTTTTCAGAACAGATGTTTAAATATTACAACTTTAAAACAACAAGGGCAAATTAAACTTTCATCTAAACCCGAGGCTACCCGTACAATTTAATTCAGTATTTAAATATAAACAACATAAAATAAACCGAACAAAAATAGGCTCTATAACAGCATTGGACCACTTGCTGCTGACATGAAGCTGATAGTGAGTAATCCTTTTATTAGTTATTTATCACTGTATAATAAAAGTATTTTTTAGAGCTTCACCAATAAAGGCTAAACATCAACCAACCAATGAAAGAAGTCGATTTTGTTAAGATAAAAAGAATGCCTTGATAACATCTATCTAAATACATTTTTTACGCTCCGGAGTTATTGGAAATATTCAGAAAAAATCAACCACTGAAATCTAATCCTATAAATAATATGAATCTAATGATAATAGTGTATCTTTATCTGCAACTGTGCACTAACGCAGCTTTGAAACACGATGAAAAAACATGCAAAAGAAATGTCCCAGTGTGGTATTAGATTTGTTTTTAGAATTAAAATGTATGAGTAGCCGTTGTTGATTGTTTCAATTATTATCATCATTTGTTTACACCACAAATAGTTACTTCCAGCAATTGTCACCAGGGGCCTCATTGATAAACCATTGCGTAGGATTCACGTGGGAAGGTTGCTTACGTAGGACAAAGCAAATAAATACGCACAGACATTTTCCGATTCATAAAACACTGCGTACCGGCGTAGGGCTTGCGTACGGCACTTCCTACGCCGGTCTTCCTTTATAAATCACAATCAACTCGAAATGCAGCGCAGCTTTTGCGGGCTTCACGTAACGCCCATATTTGCCTATAAATAGTCAAATAAACACCCATTCATTCATTTTGACTGACTGCAGGAAGAAGATCGCAGGAAATGACGACAGAACAGCTAAAAAAAGACATCTCACACCGTATCAGATTTTGGGGAGGTCGAGATAAATCATATTGTTTGGTGGATGCAGTTTGAAGAGTAGCAGCATGGAGATCCGATCGTCACCAAAATAAATAAATAAGTGGTCCGAAAAAGGTTTATGACAAAAAAAAATACACATAGCCTTCCTCAGGCAGTGTGTTTGTACCGGGGACAGGAGACCCCCCCTTGATGAGAAACTGTAAGAAATTATCGGGGAATCCCTCCGGAGTGGAGTCATGACATCTGGATCTGAATTATTTGTTTGTATTTGGTGGTTTGTGTTCCAGCTGTTGATCAGCAACTATATATCCACCAGCTAAAGGAAATACAACTAATGTGTTGACCACATATGGTGTTCTTAGTTTCCATACCTCCTGTGTTTTATGAGCGACTTATCAAGTCTTAGAAAACGGCATAAAACATGATTAAACATGATAGTATATAAAACCATGCTCGTATCTCCAACCTATAGAAATGCAAAACGCCGTCAGTTTAAAGTAATTCTGTCCTCCTGCTTACCGCATCATTTATGAGAAAACATTTCATAACAAGAGAACATAATTGAGAAGTGATTACATTACATTGCATTGCATTTAGCTGACGCTTTTATCCAAAGCGACTTACAATAAGTACATTCGACCAGGAAGATATAACCCTGAAGAAA